TCGTGTTCAGCTCGAAATGGCTCGAAAAAAATATATATATAACTTTTTATAAAACAATATATTACATACATTATTTATATAATAACATATTATATACATTTATGTCTAAGTTTAAATCATAACACCTCATGTGACAATGTGGTTAGTGTCTTCTTTTGTATAGATTTGATCCAGATTCGAATCTCACACTTTACATCTATTTTTCTCTATTTTAGTTTAACGAGTCAATTTCGAGCCGAACACGAGCCGAATACGAACACGAATATTTAAATCGAGCCGAACACGAACACACTATTCACGAGCCTATTTAGAACGAGAGCCGATTTCGAACACGAACTACTTCGAACGAGCCGAACACGAGCCAAGTCTGGGCTCGCTCAAACTCGGCTCGTTTACAACCCTGCTTCTAGAAAAGTGGCGGGTTTTATACATTCGGGTGACCGAGTAGCCTTCGTGGACCCTCGATTGCATATACATATATCTGAGCCTAGCCCTACACAAGTGTTTGCGGTCTCCCTTACCTGAACTTTTTGTTTTATCGAAGATTTGGACAGAGCACTTGTGTTTCTTTTCGTTTCTTCAAGATTTTTCCGAGATTTTTGAAGATGTTTACTTGAGTCTTTTTCTCGTTGATTTTCTCAAGTTTTCGGTCATGAGTCGTCATTACACTTTTCTTCGGATTTCCCGGATGGCTTTTCTTCCAGATTTCGCTTTTTGCAATATATTTCAGCTTGTTATATTTAAGAAACAGTGGATCCCACGGGCGTACAGGTTCGTTTTAAATTTATAGAATGTTATTCTATTCCTGTTCCTACCTGCTACTGTTCTATACAGCATGTTATATTATTCTTGTTTCTACCCGTTATTGTTCTGTAAGGTATGTTATATTGTTACTTTTACTGTACTTGCTACCGCTCTATAAAGCATGTTATACTGTTCCTTTTACTATACTTGCTATTGTCATGTATGACATGTACACTGTTTCTTTTATTGTGCTCTCTACTACTTGCCCTGTACTGCACATTTTTATATTACATAGCCTTAAACATGTCTCCTTTCCCTATAGGATGTTTAGAGGACTATTACCATAGGGTCGTTTGATTTGACATTATAACTAGAAAAATTGAACTCGTCACGACAAGGAGCTTGGAGTTAGCGCGGTGGGTAGCACGACCATCTTCAACAGCATAACATGTCTTCCCCAGCTAAATCATTCTTTTCCTAGAATTAAAACAACAATCCATAGAATTTCGAGGTTGTTCGCAATCCTCAACCTTTTCGTTAGGCATTTGTGTAGCTCTGCTGTACGATCTAAGCCCTAACTCGTTTTAGGATTCCATGACTGTCGTTCATTACGATCTAAATCCTCACATCTTCCAGGCTATTTGTGTGAGCGTTTCACACGAATGTAAACCCTAATTAAATAAAACTGGCAGGATAAAACATTTAAATATTCCTCTTCGAAACTGAAGTCAAACCATAGGGTAGACTGGGAAGCCACCGAGGATCTCCTCTGGATCTGTGGCATCCCCTAGTTCTTGTTCCTTTGGATCCTGTAATAAATGTTCCAAGTTTGAACCATTCCCTTTTGCACACCTATTTGTCCGATTTCATTGAAAAGTCCTATCCTTTTGAAGTGCTTAAAGATAATTTTTCCTGATTTTTATCGAGAGTATTCTTAAGTTATTTCGGTCATTTAAGATGTAATTAACTATAGGGGCTTGCCCTTATAGAAAGCTTTTCTGAACCTAGCTTAAAATAAACCCTATTTAATTCTTCATATTAAATAGGGGAATTTGTCGGCAAATAAAATGGTTTCGCAGACCAAACGGATGTCATATATATCTTAGTTTATCTAATCGAGTCTCATCCTCAAGTCTTGTGTTTATCCCTCAGGATAGATACATGATTTGAGGTAAAACGCTCTTTCATTTAAACTATGAAAAATATGGGGTCACTTTGATTTTCATACTTAAACCTATACGTCATTCCGAGGCGGGCGACGGGATTTCAATTTCGGTGACCGACAGCTTCTTACGGGCAACTCCCCCAAACAAACAAACCAAACCATCCCCCCACTTTTCCCCGCCGACAGAGTCTAAAGGCCTTCATTTGAGTAGAACTAAAATTGAATACATGGAATGTAATTTCAGTAGTAGTAGCTCTAGTGACAGAAGTGTAACATTGGGTGATCAAATTATTAAAAGGATTGAACGATTTAGATATCTCGGGTTTGTTATTTAAAGCGATGGTGCTATAGATGGGGATGTTAAGAGTAGAATTCAAGTTGGTTGGTTGAAGTGTAGGAATGCTTCAGGCCCTTTGTGTGATAGAAAAGTACCTCTTAGACTGAAAGAAAAATTTTATAAGATGGTGGCGAGACATACAATGCTCTATGGCACTGAATGTTGGCCTTTAAAAGAGAAGCATAATACTAAGTTAAGTGTTGCTGAGATGAGAATGATTAGGTGGATAAGTGGCTTTACACTTAGAGACAAAATATGAAATGAATATATCCGTGATAGGATTGGTTTAGCTCCAATGACAGGAAATGACGAACATAGCAGCAAGACTTAAGACCCTAAGAATGACAAAATTAGAGAATGTTGTCTTAGATGGTTTGGTCACATTAAACATCGACCATCTGATGATCCAATTAGGAGAGTACATGTTGTTGATTCAGATTATGTTAAGAAAGGTAAAAGTAGACCTAGGAAGACTTGGGCTAATTGAATAAAAATGATCTTAATTTATTAGAACTAAATGAAAATATGACACTAAATAGGACGCAATGAACACTAAATAGGACGCAATGAAGGAAAAAAGATTCATTTAGCTGACCCCACGTAGTGGGATTAAGGCTTTATTGTTGTTCTTGCTGCTTATAGTTTCAACAAGTATGAACTACATTTTTTTTATAATTCATGCATAGCATTTACATATAAAATTAATGCATATTAAGTCTGTAATTGTTCAATATATTGTTGAATTTAATTATTTGCTTACAGGAAAGGAAAAACTGAAGTTGATATATTTGACGAGAGGTAATAGTTCTTAGGAAGACTACTGTTGATAGGTACTATGATTGTAGTACCTTTGTATTACTTCTTCTGGGTACTGATATATTATTATATGTTGGTTTGAGATATTGTTTACAGACTCATTTTTTCTGAATTTTTTGATTTATGTGTAGACTATTTTGTGGTTACTTAGCAACTTTATATATATTAGAAGTTCTGAAAAAATGTTAAAAGTAATAAAATGTTAATACCGTCCAACCACTCTTCTCAACTTGATCAATTTGAAGCTACTAGACCAATTCGTGACACTAGTAGTCCAAGTACCAAAGAAAGAAGATGAGTAATGATAAAACTAACGAAAAATCTAAATAGCAAGTATAAAAAATAAATTGATTATATAGTAAACTTGCCAACTTCAGCTCACTTTTAAACCAAAGAGTCACTAAAAAAAGTCCTTAAAAGTATCCAGACAGTTGATTCCCCACCTTATTGCCATACAATTTCGAGACAAAATGTGTAAAGGGATTAAATGTGCGGTATCAGATAAATAAAAGAGTCAAAGAAAATGCAATATAAGGTTTGAATCAAATGGTTAAGGATTCAATGTTGAGTTAGACACACTAATGATAAAATTCATTTATAACTCAAAAGCTTAAGACTATGGAGGAGGCACACCACTTGGTACTTTTATATCAAAATACTTTCAACTTTCCGATGTGGAATAAAATCCACAGCCTAATGCGTCTTAGCAATCTCCTCACATGATAGCTCTCAACATTGACAATCGTTCCCCATAAAAAAAAAAAAGGTTTTTCAACCTCATTGAATATCATGCACCAAGACAATTGAACCAAATGAGGTATCATTGGGAGTTAGCCGCTTTTGAACTTTGCTCAACCATGATAAAACCCAACAAAAACCAATGTGATCCACAAACTACATGAACTACAAGAATACAATTAAAAACTGTAAAACAAAGTGATGACTAAAATTGGTCTACATATACAAAATTTCATACTATTTTCAAACCAAAAATAAAGCCTATGGACGAGATCCAACCACCTGCTATTCTACAACATAAACTTTATAACTATTCCAAGCAAAATTAAATAGAAAGCCTGACATATTTTAACAACTTGAGTTACAATTGTTATTGACAGGAAAATTTTCCACCATAAATAAACAAAGATCACCGTAAATGGGCCAAATAAAATAACCAAAATTTCTAGCATTGCTGGCAATCACAATCAAAATGATATATGCAAGTCATCTACCTCCATCACTAGCCTTGATTCATTGTACTTTTTCAATATTACTCAATGTGACATTTTAATTTCTAGTGGTTTAAACATCATTTGTCATATAGTACTATTTTAGTATGATTTTCTTTTTTTTTGCATGCTCAAAGGAAATTTAGTGATTTTGAATGGGAACTATTATTAGTGTGCCTATTATCATTTAATTCAAATGGTTGATAATAAAATAACGAAAGAGTTTCTTCTAGTATTCCGTTTGAGATATCTGTTCCTTCATCTAGCTCCCTCCTTTACTTCTTTTTTTTTACTTCTTGCTCCTATCCTCCAAAGCAGTTCATTCATCTCTTTTTCACAATCTCTTCCACGCATTCTATCATCAATTATTTTTCTCTATATTAGAATCTTTTCTTTTCAAGAACCAAAATATCAAATTTATATATAACCACTTTTACAGCCTCCGCTTTTCGTAATAGTCAACACCATTATAATATTCATATTTGCAATAGCTAAGCACTTGAACGCAATCAAGAATATTTGTCAACATGATGGTAACAAAGCTCTGAATGCCAAAAACATCATTTTGATTACCAAAATATTGTAGGACCTGCAATAATGTTTTAATTTTCATAGCCAAGCCTGTAAAATATAGGAAGTAATCCATGATATGAATTTATTTAACGTTTCATGAATTTTATTAAGTTAATAGAGAAGTGGTCTAGCACACCTGATGTATCCACGAATTAAACTGTTGATGGACTTCATCAACTAAGGGTCCCCTCAAAACTTTCAGAGTTACCTACAATTAAGAGATACCAAATAGAAATATCTCAACAAATGTGCAAAATAAGCATTTTGATTATATCTTTTAACATATAAAAGAAAGCACACTGAATGAGAGATCTAAGGTAACCAAGAATCATCACCGATCTTGAAGCAGCTGAAGGAGGAGCACCATTAGGCCGGAAAATGTAAGCACCAGAGGCCTAATAGAAACAGTATTCATTTTAAGAAATTAACGAACTTTTGCACCTCAGAGATCTGATAAAATTTAATTACCTGCGAGTCTTCAACATCACCCTCACTAGAATCATACCAGAGATAGCTTTGTTGCACGGGTAAGTCAACCTAATCAATCAAACAAAAGGCTCTAAAATACTGCACAAAACAGAACTTTCAGTTTTGCAATAAAATTTAACCATAAATCTATTCAAAGCATTAACCCTAAAGTTGGTCTGACAAATTTTCTAGGAATTAAAGAAATTGTATCAAACATATAATACCAAAGAATGGGAGGAGAAAGTTGTTAAGACGTTGCCACAGAATACCAAAAAACTTGGCTTGTAATGCAAAAGGCATCAGTTTTTATTTTGTCCCATTAAAATAAAATTGCATAGAAACTTTAGAGGGATAAAGTTGCATAATGTAAGCAGGCGTGTATGTGGCCATATTCATGACATTTTACAAGTTTTATTTCTTTAAAAACATTCTAGATAATGAGAATCCACCAGATTATTAGATAGTTGATCCCTGGATGCAATTCAATTTAGAAATGCCAAAGCAAAATTTTGATATTTCAAATAAGGAGTTATTTAATGTTATCAAATTGAGCTTCAGTGGGATCAAATGCTTCTATATTTGCAGTAAATCAACGTAAATGGCACAAGGAAAAAGTTATCAAAGTCGTAGAAAGCGAGATATCAATGTTCTTAGATTTTTTTACTTTGTCAGAAATACTTATATGTTCCTAAAAGGGAAAAGATTTTTTACAAACTAAGACCTTGTTCCACTAGAATACATACTCAAATTAGCAAGCACACAAACAAAATATGAATTGATTAAAAGTGAAAAACAAAACATCAGAATGAAAGGAATATTAGATAGTGACTACATCAGCCAAAAGATATTAACCGTAAGCACAATAACCAATGAATTGCCACTACAGTTCCCATTGCCGAAGCTTGTTTCTCAGTCACCCAAATTTGCAAAAGTTCAAAAATTACATCGAGAACTAGTTGTCTGTAGTTAATTATCAAGTACGTGTAGCAGAAGTAAAATAGTTTACATGATAAAATCTTCGCTGTAGATAGCAATTGAAGCATATAAAACTACTTACTCCTGCTCTGCTATTCACCACTCTTTTCAGTTGTCCCGAAGTTGATGAGAAGGCCATTTTAAGAGGCCCGGGTCCAATCTCCACTGTATCATTATCTGGTGTTGATATAGTTGAACTATGGCCATATGCATAGAAGGCTGTTGTGAGAGATTAATTAGATAAACTAATATAAATGATAACTGCAATACTTGATAAAAATATTAAAACTAATGATGGAAATTCTACAGCGTAAATCAACGTTCAGGAATTCACCTTGCTTGGCTTTTTTTGATATGAAGTAAGTATTCCATCCCAAAGGTGGCACAAATACTTCAAATACAAGCCAATATTTTGGAGTATCTTTAGGCAACTCGCCTAGATATGCCTTGACATAAAAATTTCTAATCTTAATGGTATTATTTTCTATCTCAATGAATTGAGTCACAATAGCATTTCCATTTGCATCCCGTACAACCAGATGGTCATCATTAACCTAACGGAAGTAGAAAAACAAGTTAAGACAAAAAAACTACAGATAGAACCACTTATTTCCAATATATCCCAGAAGTAAAAATAACAAAACTATTAAACGGTAATAAATTAGTAATTTACTTTTGAGCTTTCCATGTATTAGTTAAATTTGACAAACTAAAGAAAAGAAATAACAGACTATTTTTTAAGGCATTCAGAGAAAAACAATCTTTGGAATTGATGTACATTGCGTGAAGCCATTGAGCGAGTCATTGGGAAAAATGATGAAGGAATCGTCAATTATGTACTCAATATTATCCAGCTTTTGGTTATCTTCCATAATAAAGTAAGACTGAACAACTAGGCAGCAATACAATTAAAATAACATTGCCATGCTACGTTCTTTAAGTTATCCAAATGAGAACGTAGAAACATGTAGCATCCTTTGGGGTTACATTCAGTAGCAAAGAGGCCATTTGGTATCACTCTTTCATCCATTTTTCAAATTCTCGCACAAACATCAAATCCATAAGTTTGAATTGAGACAATTACATGCATGGCACCTGAAACAATGCTATTTACAAATCAAGCACCCTATTTCATCCATTTTTCAAATTCTCGCTCAAACATCAAAGGCAAAGGTAGTGATAAAACCCCATCCCATTTTTTTCGTTTGAGGCAATTACATACAAGGCACCCAAAACTTGCTATTTACAAATTAAGCACCCTCTTTCATCCATTTTTCAGATTCTCGCTCAAACAAAAAAATAAAAATTATATGTAATTTTGAATTGAGGAAAATCAGGGCAAGTAATGCTATGTACAAATCAAGCACCCTTTTTCATCCATTTTTTAAATTCGCACTCAAAAATTAGTGGAGGCAATGATAGAAGGCCATCCCATATTCAACATTTCATCCGGTTACATGCAAGAGCACCCAAAACATTCTTATCTACAAATCAAACTCACTCTTTCATCCATTCTCCAAATTCTCACTCAGAAAAGAATTGGAGATAAGAAAAACATTCAACATTTTTCATTTTTTTGCAAGATTCAAATCGCAATCGCAAATTAAAAGTCACAAATCACAAATATCACAAACTTCTCACAACAACTGCAAATGAGAAAATAAAAAATTTGAAAAAGAAGGCTATTCCATAACTAGAGATCGGAGGGAAGAGGAAGAGAAGAAAGGCAACCACCAGAGAGATGCGCGTGAGAGGCTCGAGCAAAGCACGAGAGAGACGCGTGAGAGGCTTAAGAGAAGTGCTAGAGAGGTAGAGAGGCACCTAGGGCAGATGAGACACAAGAGAGGGAGCCACGGGGTCGAGGGGGCAAGGGGGAAATGCATACGCAAAGAAATGCGGACCGCAGAGTCGAACCCACGACTATGTTTAAAATGAATTATTAACGAATTATTAGGATAAGTTGCAGCGTCATAGTAACCAAACGCTTCTGCCAGTGTTTTCAAAACGCACCACACCAAATAAGCGGCCCAACGGGCCTTTAGATTATAGTAACTTCTTCATATTGGTAGATGATACACCTAAAATATACTTTTTATATACATTTTTATACGTATTTTTGAGATATTGCGCTTTAACGAAAAGGTCTTGTGTCTCTTTCAGGTAAAATCAAATGGATGATAAATTGTAAAAGAAGTGAAAAATGGTCAAATTTGGAGCAAAAATGAACTGAGAAGCCTAAGAGCTTAGGACTAGCGTTTATGCACCAGTTATACAGAGAGAGCCGCGCCTAAGCGCCAGGTACCTTGCACTTAAGCGTTAGAAGTAGTTATTTGATGATTCATTGAATTTAGACAAATTTTTTAAGAAGTTTTGAAGAAACCCTTGGTAAAAACGTAGAAAATAGCCTATGGACAAGAAAATTCATTCAATTGGCTTTTGAAAGGGCGTAACTTCTAGAAGATTCATTGAATAAAGACACATTTTGAAGAGACACCAAAACACCCCTTAGATTTTTATTAAAGAAGACTTGGATCATCAAAGGAAGAGGCCAATACACATCCAAAAGCCATCATCCATCCAAGTAACTGCCGCCGCCGCCGCCGCCGTTGGCCACCTTTTATTTTATTTTAAATTTTAGTTTGTGTTGGGAGTGAAGGAAGATAATTCAAAGGAATTTCAAGACATTTAGTGGAAAAAATTTGAGATAAGAGTTTATTTTTATGACTACATTTGATTTTAATTTAAATTTCTTGTTTGTGTGCATGATTTCTACTTTTAAACTTATGCATGGTTGTATTTTCTCCATGGATTCTGAGTTAGTTTTCTTTATTTTTTCCTTAAAATGATAAGTGATTAAGTGTTGAAAGAAAGTTGTGTAAAGTATTATACTTCAATCTTGGAAGAAGTTGTGTTGATTTGAAACCTTGTATTTCATTTACTTCTTGATTTGGTCAATTAAGATGTTAATACCAATACCGAGAACATATAAGATCCGAGATGATATTGTCTCAGTCAATAAATGGTAAGAATCACATAAAATGGTAAGAATCACATATTAGAAAATCACATTTGATTCAGTGGATGAAAATGTAGTTCATGGAGTTGAGTGCAAATAAATAGATAAATAAATTTTAATATGTTTAGAATTAGAGGACTTTAGAGTGACAGACTAAAACCCTCAATTTGATTTATAATTTTAAGTTTTGATATGAGATGTTAGCCCCCAGTTGAAGGGAGAAAAATGAACTCTAGAGTGAGAGCTAGTATCTTCCCTATCTAACCCTATCTAACCGGTCTTCAAGACTATTCAAACTATAGATTATCCAATGTCTTTTATAGCATCTCTAGCAAGAGTAAAGAATATTATTGCTCATATTTGACACAACACATTTAGAATACTTCTACAATAGAATTTCTTAACTTGTTACTGATTCATGACAAGGAAAAACATATTTTACTTATATTGCGTTCATCTTGCGAATATTTAGTTAAGTTAATTAATTGTTTACTTTATTTTCAATTATCAAAAATTACAAAAAGAATCAAATTTTCATTTCTATTATAGTATCTTAAGTTTAAGTAAGAATATTTTGCTAAGTTAGATTTTTGTTATCTAAACTTTCTAGTTTTCTAAAGTGCATATTGTCAGTTTTTTATGTGAGTTCGATATTCGAGACTTAATAAAAAAATCGTATATTACTTGAAAATGATACATATACTTATGGATTATCTCATATTTTAAAATTATAACTGTATTCTTCTTTTCTTCATAGTGAAAAATTTACCTAGCTTTTGCTTTGGATCAAGTTTTTTATTTTGTTGCAAAATAGGAATCACTATTAAAGAAATTAAACATATATCACATACATCGCAATAAACATCTATATAGAAAGTCGGGATCAAGTTTTTGGCGCTGTTGTCGGAGAAAATTACAAAATTTTCAAAAGAGGTTTTTAGAAAGCAAAATTTCTATTTTTATAATTTCTATTTTTATAAAGTCTATTTTTATAAAGTCTTATTTAAAATTTAAGATTTATTATAGGAATATTGTAATGTTGTTTTTATATTAAGTTCTTCTTTGTGTGTTTTAATTTTGTTATATCTTATTTTATGTTTTATAGTAATGTATGTGTAGTTCAGGTTCCACAGGATTTGTGTCTTACGATTCTGAATTAGAAAGAACTATTAGAAAAATTAAAATATAAGTACTGAAAAATCTTAAAAAATGATAAATCAAAATAATCAAAATGTTTAAGGTTTTAAACCTTTAAGAGATTATGCAAATCCTACGGTGGATGAATTTCATTATAGTATTCAAAAATCTTCTGTAGTGACTAATTCATTTGAGCTTAAACCTGCCATTATCCAAATGATATCCAATAATCAGTTTGGGGGAGTACTAACGAAAGATCCAAACTTACATCTTGCAATTTTTCTAGAATTATATGCTACATTTAAGTATGATGATGTATCAGATGATGCTATAAGACTTCGATTATTTCCTTTCTCACTCAGGGATAAGACTAAGATATTGTTACATTTATTATCACCTGGATCTATCAGAACTTGAGGTGATTTAACGCAGAAATTCCTTGCTAAATATTTTCTAACATAAAAAATTGCAAAGCTTAGAAATGATATTACATCTTTTTATCAGTTTGAAGAGGAATCTATTTATAAAGCATGAGTACGATTTAAAGTACTCTTAAGAAAGTGCCCACACTATGCTATACCAGATTGGTTAATAATTTAAACATTTTACAATGGATTAGCTAGCTCTCTTAGATATATTATTGATGCAGCTGTTGGTAGTTCATTGATGTCAAAACCATTTAATGATGCTTATGTTTTAATTGAAGACATAACTATAAATAATTTTTAATGACCTTCTGAAAGAATAAATCTTAAGAAAGTAGTCAATATTTATGAAACTGGTGTTTTTGTTATATTAGCAAATCAAGTTGTAATTTCAAGGAAGTTAGACCAATTTGGAATGAATTTTTCTCAACTAATTTCCATACAACAACAACAACAAAGCCTTAATCCCACTATGTGGGGTCGGCAAATGGTAGATTCTCAAGCATCATTAGAAACTTTGAATGTCATAAACAAGTAGAATAATTCATATTCAAACTATTATAACCCATGTTAGAAGAATCATCCTAACTTTAATTGGAATAATACTTTGGGTGGTAATAATCAACAATGAAGGAACAACCAAGTAAACTCATTGGGAAACTGGAACAACCACTGATGTGCAATAGGAACAACCACTGAAAAAGCTTCCTGAAAAGCTTAAAGATCCTGGTAGCTTCACAATTCTATGTGCAATAGGAGACAAATTTTATGGTAAAATTTTATGTAATTTAGGTGCAAGCGTTAACCTTATGTCATTATCAATATTTAAAAGATTGGAATTAGGAGAAATAACCCCAACTACTGATATTTTGCAGTTAGCAGATTGTTCAATAACATATATTAAAAGAATTATAGAAGATGTCCTAGTGAAAGTGAATCAATGTCCTAGTGAAAGTGAATCAATTTATCTTTTCTA